GGAAGGTGTTGATATGAAGTAGTTTTCTATAAAATCTATCACAAGAAATAATTAGATTGTGTTGTTTTGAGTGGTACTCACATTTGTTGTAATTTTTCTTCCATTAGTAAATGTCCTCATAAACGGGATTATTTTAGTTTTGCAGAGATACAGTTCAAATTTTAGCGCAGTTGAATTTGATTTTCAACTTCCATTTACAAAAGAGTAATTATATCTAATTACTTAATATCCTTACCAAAGAATGTAAAGTCCGTATTAATTGTTTAGCAAAGATTAAATCAAGAAAAGTCACCTCGTACTCGTATTCAAAATCATATTTAAGAAGATATATCACAACAACTCAATTATTCTCACAGAAACAAGTTGCTTTGTTGAGCCTTGCTTATCAGTATCTTAATATTGTATTTTATCGTGTTTAAATGATTTTCTCCTCGACGTAATCTCTCAGTACATAGCGTGAGCGGAAGTTTACTATTAATAGGTGAATTTGAATCAACCGTTTTGCAATTTTTTGTTCAGTTTTCATTCAGTTAAATCTTCAGTCGTACCGCTTTGTTTTTCGATAATTTGACTTATTTCGTGTCTAGTTACTACATTACATAATGTAAAAGCAGCGTTATTATCTCTTTATTCCCCATTTTGTTGTGTTTCGTACATTACATCGTTCTCTGATCCATACATTATTTGCAACTTTCATTTCAGTCATGTCTCAGATAAATGAAAATCAATCTCTACAAAATGCAGTCGCTCATAAATTATTGTCTACAGCGAATCCCTCAACTTCAACTGCATTAGATCTCTCTCATCTGGAAAGCAATGAGCAACAAAAGCAGTTTCGGGAAATCCGTATCGGTTATTATTCATATACTTATGTAATGTATTTTTAGATATTTACAGTATTTTTAATTTTTCTTTTGAAAGTTTATAATATGTAGAAGTCCTTAGGACAACTAAATTTGAAAATAAAATACAGATGTATCTGCTTATTATTATCATATTAAGCAGCAGTTTTGGCTATGATTGTTGATTTGTAAGCTGGCAAAAACATCCAGCAATTTGTAGGAAACTAAACACCATTATGAATCAGTAAAATATTCTAAATTTGTTTGTGTTGAATGTTTCAGTGAAGACGACTCACTGTTTACAAATATTACCGTGTTGTACTAGTGAGATTAGCTATTTCTGATGAGTTGCTTGATTTTGTATTACAGCAGCGTGTGGTTGTTCACATGGTGAAATGGATAAGATTTACGCGACTCTGGCAGAAATTGAGCGAAGAGAAGGCTATAATTTCGATTTACTTATTTGTTGTGGAGACTATGAAGTATGTTGTTGTTGTTTTTTTTTTGCAAAATCTTTTTTGACTTCTTTTGTCTTACTAGATTGTGGTGGCTTCCACGAAATTTTTTCCAAATTTCAAGAGCAGTTTCTTCTTGCAGTGATTGCTTGAAAATATTTTAAATTTAGTTATATTATTGACACTCAAAGTTTGTACGATTATCACATCGTGCTTACAATTTGTCTCGTTTTAAATATGTGCTTGATTATTGTCGGAAATTTGATTAAGTTCTATCTAACTTCTTTTAATGAATAACTTTAGTACGCTGCAGTTGTGCAAAATTGATACAAAATATATTACAAGAGCTTTATTTTTAGTATTTTATTAGTATCGAATTTCTTATTCGGTGTTTTAGGCTGTCAGAAATTATGGAGATTTGAAACATATGCATGTACCAGAGAAATATCGGAATCTCCAAACATTTCATCGATATTATTCAGGCGAAATAGTAAGATGAAAAAATTGTGTGCACTTTGCACTATTGAACTGTAAAAAAATTATAACCATCAGAATCGTGTACGCTTCTTGTACTTTACATATTCAAAGTTGTTCATCCTTTGTAGAAAAAATCTCAAAGACATTCGACTCATGTGTTAGGTTTATGTATCAGAGCGGTGAAAATATAGTGTTACGATATAAAAAAGGTTTTTTTTGTGTATCTCATGATTAAGATTTGTCGAAATAGGAATTTTCGAAACGGTCAATAAAAGTTATTTAGGAAGCTCCGGTATTGACAGTTTTTGTTGGAGGAAATCACGAAGCATCTGGTTTTTTGCAAGAATTACCGTATGGTGGTTGGGTTGCACCGAAAATTTATTTTATGGGACATGCAGGTGTTATAAAGTTTGGAGGTTTAAGAATAGCTGGTCTTTCTGGTATTTATAATAAAAATGACTTCGATATGGGTAAGTAAATTTAAAGTTATGCTTACAAATCAGTTGTAAATTGAAGTTGGTAAGGGGATTAACTTACTGACAAAGTCGATAATAGTGGTTTATCAAGTGCTAGAATTGTTTGTTAAGGTCATTGGGAACGTCCGCCATTTACGAATTATGGGGCGCTGGTATCGGCTTACCATGTTCGTTCAGTTGATATGTTCCGTCTGAAGCAGCTAAAACCGAAAAATTCGAAAGGTTCGAAAAATCCAGAAAATCATACTTTTATTGACAAATGTTATGATTTGCCCCTTTAAGAATCGAAATTAGTAACTCTGTAGTTTATAAAGTAAAATGTTTAAAATTTTGAAATTGGAATACGCACGCAATACAATTTCAGACGGTTTCCTCTTTTTTTCATTTATATCTATATACTTTTGTTTATACGAATCATTTCCCAATTTCAATCATTTTTACCATTTACAGATTAAAGTTTCCATTTACCGTGTCATTTTTTAGGACCCTTAATAGATATTATGATAACGCATGATTGGCCCGCAGGCATTGCCTGTTATGGTGATGTCGAACAGCTGCTGAGATTAAAGCCTTATTTTAAAGATGATCTGGAAAGGAATGCTATAGGCAATCCTATTTCGATGAATCTTCTACATGTAAGTACAATAATTTATATTGTACCAGTAGTCTGAAGGTTAGAGCACAGTAGTGACTAATTCTGTTGCGAGTTCGAGTCCATTCAGGACTACCTTCAAATAGGTTTTCCGTACGTCTCTTTGTGGCGTGTTGGGAATTGTTTGAAGGTAAAATCATATACTTCTTTGCCACGAAGGATTTCCTTAATTGCAAATACCTTTGCCTTTCTCTGGAGTGTACAGTTCTATCTTTCTTCCTTTCAAGAATTTATCTATAATATCACCTTAATGATTAAAATGATAGTAACAAAGATAAAGAAGAGGGTCACTTAAAAAGTCTATCAAAAATCAGGTATTTGTTCTTTAATGCATGTCGTTTCGTTACTAATCTGATTCAATACTTTTAGTTGCCATCAAGTCTATTCACTTTTATTTTTTGTAAAAGCTTTTTCTTTCCTTAAAATTATGAAACTATTGCAGAATGAATCATAGTACTGTCTACTTTGTTATAGATAATGAAGCCACGTTACTGGTTAGCTGCTCATATGCATTGCTTTTTTGCAGCCTTAGTTCCTCATTCTGATAAGAATGATACTGAAGATGTTTTTGAGCCTACCAGATTTTTGTCATTAGACAAACCACTTCCCCGAAGACATTTTTTACAGGTCATCTTAATTTTCTAGCAACTTTTAATTCTTTTTCTGTTTCTAAATCCAAACTTGAAATACAATTATTGACAAACTTGGATTTTTTAATCTCTGTACAGATTACGGAAAGAAAACAAATATATGAAAGAACTAAATTTCTGATTCATTCTAGCAGCGTGAAAAATTAAATTGCTAGAAAGTTTCGGTTTCCTAGCAGTGTTTAAAAACTTAGAACAGATCATTTGCTTCTATTTCACATTTTTCGTAATAGTTTATTTTAATTTTTAATATCTTAGACAAAACTTCATTTCACTAAAATTTTCCAGCACTTTTTATATATCATTGCTATTTAAGGTTTTAAACTTTAAAGTCCATCAAGATGAACCACTTCATCTTTCTTATGATCCAATATGGTTGGCAATTTTAAAATCAACAGATAAATTCACATCAGCAACTAAAAATGTTAGCATTTTTCAAATCAATATTTTACTCCTTCATAATGTAATGATAGATTTGATGTTCAATTTCTCATTCCCAATTAAAGAAGTCTTCAACTTCCATAAAATTTTAAAATTTCTATGATTAATTTTTTAGTGCAAACAACCTTAATTTTTCAAATGCATTTTTTATCTGTGATTCGTGAATTGAGTATAGGATGCCTTTTGCTCTCGTTTATATTGTCGTTTTTAAATCGAAATTTTCATTGTTTCAGTGATTTAAAAGTGATCTCACTTTTTTGTAAATCCTTTAGATATCTTATATGCCATCACAACATAATCGAAATGAGCGATGGGACTTTAGGCCAACTGAAGAAGAACTTGAAGAAATTAAAAAAATATTTGATGGAGATTTCAAAATTCCCATGAATTTTAAAATGACAGCTCAACCGCATAAAGAAAGTGAACACATTGACAGTGCTCAAGAAATTTATTACAGGTAGTATTATGTAGCAAAACATTATATATTTTAAAAAGATCAAAATCTGATATAATTTCTAATTTGATGAATCTAGATTTTGAAATTCTCTTTTTCATCGGTTCTTGGAAAAATGATATCGTTGTTCATTCTTATCAATATTTATAAATTTCTGGTTGGTTAATAGATTGAATTTAATTGGGATTATTTTTATTTAATCCATTAATTATGGTTTTTGATTTCCTTAATTTAATTTTGTTCCATGTTATTACCATCATTAATCAGAATTAGCGATAGGAGTTCTTCGAAGTATGATATTTTTTCATCCAAAACTTGAATGGTTTGAAGTGGAGATTACTGTACTTTAGCAGTAATAGTTTTTGTGATTGTAATTCAGATCTTATTATGTCTCAGAAATCCTCAGTCGGCAGAATTTTGTTCCAAACTTGGAATTCAAGATTTAAATGCAATGCTTTGTTCACTATCAAAGGATGGGGTCGGTGTTCCATATTATCTCAGGACTAGCGATAATTTGCATAATGATTCAGGAAACAAAGCTGTCTACGATAAAAATATGGTAACTATTAGCACTTATTCATCTTTAGAAAATATACAACATCTTTAGACCTCTGTCTAAAGACTTTTAAGTTTTTCAATTTAACATCCTGAAAGGTTAGTGAAGTTCTAAAAGGTTTACAGCTGCAGGGAAGATTGCTTTTCTATGAAAAAAAATTACAGTTTTTCTGTGAAAACAATTAGTCAGCACAATTTAAAAAACATTACTTTGCAAAGGAAAGTTGGTGCTTCCACGATAGTGGGAATAAAGATGGTTTTATCACTGATGAGACTTCTGGTGCTGGATCTTTGAAAGTTGATAAGGAGTGGGAACTAACTTGCAGTGACCCTAGCAATTCTAATTTTTTTGTTGATCGTCGAGGAAAGTTAGTTTTATATCCTCATACAAGTTAGGTTTTGAAAATAATAAAGTCTGAAATAAACCATTTGTCATATCTGTTGTCTCTTAGCAGACTGCAGAGTTAATTCTGAACTAAATAATGTTCTCTTAAAATCATATGAATCAGTAAACAAAATATGTTTTTTGTATTGATGGATGCCCTTTTTTTCTACTGATCGATTTTTCGCGTTAATATCTTTCAGCTGATGAAGTACTTGATGGAGTTTGTACATTTTGATTCATTCCTTGAATTGAAATTTGCTTCCGATCTGCTCAGTAGTGCAGGGGGAAAAATAGTTACGAGGTTTTGGCTGTCATCATTCAGTAATAAAGGCAGAAAAACAAAGTCGGCTATCCGCAATCATGAAAATAATGATATGATTGATCTCTCTCCATTTTAACGCTTCGTCTTTTTGCTTTTCGTTAATTTATTTTCAGTGATTGAAGTGTGTGTAATTATATTGGGTGCATTAACTTTGAAAGTTTTCTATTGCTTTTTGAACGTAATTTGTGACCCAAACAAACGCTTCAGGCTTCTGTTTGACTATTTCTTTTCTTATAGCTTGTTTTGCAGTTTGTCCTATTTCATAATTTTTGGAAGGTCAATAGTCTCACGTAATAAAGGAATTGCAATATATTTTAATGTTAACACAACAAAAAATGATTCAACTATGTACATTGGTGTGTTCATTAGTTGACGGGAAGTGCGCATATCGTTTCATTTTTGCAGCGGATAAGGGCTCTTTGAATTTAAGAGCCCTTATCCGCTGCAAAAATGAGACGATATGCGCTATTCAAAAACACTAATGGCTGTTGATAAAAATAAGCCATTATTAACTGCGTTAAGTAACGTTGATTTGAAATATAATTTAAAGTTGTGCACTTCATTTTAGTCTATTTGAGACGGATTTTTGTTGATAAAAGTCGCAGAGATAGCGAAAGTAAGCGAGAAATCGAGTAAATGATTAAACTATGGTCCAATCAGTAGTTATCAGAAATTCTTTTCAAGGTACTTGCTTTTGTATGAGAGAATGCAGGCATTACAAATTAAAAGGTAATCTCGGGAAGTAATGCATGAGGTTCATTCTATTATTCGTAATTAATATATTGCCCAACGTGATTTCTAATCAGTGTTCATTTTAAATAATTGTTTTCGCGTAAAATTTTTGTCTGTTATTCACTTAAGTTGTATATCGATCGTGGTGTAGTACTTTGGAACTTGCGATTGTGAACTTGTAAATCACTAGTTTGTCTTTTGAAAAAAAAACTTTAAGTTTTTAGAAAATTTGAGAAAAGTAGAAAGTTGAAGAAAAGATGTGTGATCGTTGTTCGTTTTGTTGCATTTTTTAAATTCTTGCTATTGTATTTTCATTGCTCTTTTTGAATTGTTTTTCCATTTTTGAGGTTATTGCTTTGGATCGATTGTAATTGTTATTTCAAATTGTATATTCACTGCAATTGTAATCAAAGCTGTTCTTTTCTGTATTTGCATTTTTATGTAATTCTTGCTGTTACTGCATTTTTGTAATTTTGATTCGTATTTGCTTTTCTAAAGTTCATTATGATTGCTCTGTTTCACCATTTACACAATGTGATTGTACTTGCTGATCTTGATTTTTTTTAAATTTCTACTGTTGTTATTGATTTTTTGTTTCAATTGTGGTTTGCGTTTTTTGCATTGTATTTGTGGTTGTTTTTTCTATATATTTTTTATTCTTACCGTGTTTTCAAGAATTCAGTAATATTAGCTTCGTATTTTATCTTATAAGGGAGCTTTTGTAAAAGCGAGAAAAGAAGATAGGTAATAAAGCAAATGAGAAGATCCAAGAATGCTAAAAAAGGATGACAAAAAATGAATGAGAAGTGAAAGTCAAAGATTAAGAAGGATTTTAAAAGAAACAACAGATCAAGTAAGTATTATATGTTTGTAAAAGTAAAATAGTTGATGAAAAAAAGTCTCATGCTTGTAATCCTCCTCAAAATCTTTTCACCTTTAAAGAGCATAGCTTGCTGTATTTAATTATTAATACAATTCTGTTCTTGTATTTGTATTTTTCGTAATTTTGTTTCTGAGTGTTTCTTTTTCATGATTTTCTTTTGTATTGATAGGTCATGGGAAAAAAGATAGAAACTGGAAGGGAAAAAAGTATTTAAAAAAGTTAAAAGTCAGCAATGAAATATGCTAGAGAGAGGTGATGAGAAGAAAAGTGATCAGGAAAAGGATGGTCAGAAGGTGGTGTGAATAACGAAAAAGTTTTAGAAAAAGGATAAAAAATAGGGAAGAAAGGGAGGGAGGACGGTTTTTTTGGCATTAATTACTGTTTACTGTTCATATTGTTCAAGGTATTTCAGCAGTTGAGAAATTTATTGGTATTTGGCCTTGATAAGTTCTGCATCGATAGATAGATAGATAGATAGATACTCTTCGGTAACTGAGGTTATTCGCCTCATGTAAGGTTACTTTTTTATTAATTGCTTAAGCCTTTTTTAATCCATCCCAAAAATAAACGTCGTCTGATATTATGCTCTAAAGAATGAACTTAGCCGAAGTATCTTTTCCAAAGGAAAAAATTAGTTGCTTTCTAATTATGACTTCTATTACTCGATTTTCGACATTTGGATGGCAAATCACAAAAATAACATGGAAATTGGTACTCACGAGATGCGATTTCAATAGTTGTTACTGGTGAATCCTGATGATATTGTATGGTACTACATATAGAAGAAATAATCTGTATTTTAAAGATACCTCTATATCTTACCTCTATATCTTTAAGATATTTTTATCCTTTTTTTAAAACTTTCGTTATTCACTACCTTCTGACCATCCTTTTCCTTACCACTTTTCTTCTCATCACCTCTCTCTAGCATATTTCACTGTTGACTTTTAACTTTTTTAAATACTTTTTCCCTTCCAGTTTCTATCTTTTTTTGATAATATCTTACTTCTGTTGGGAGCGTATGAATAAAATTATCGGAATGAAATAGGACTGCGGTAGACATGGTAGGTTTGTTTGAACTAGAATCAAGGAGGAAAACACTAATGATGTGTTAGTTTTTATTTATTGTAATCCTCTGAATGGATTTTCAACTGTAATCAATTTTAATCATTCGTACTGTACGAATAATTTTCATTCCAGGAATTATGTTTCATGAGGATACATATGGTATGTGTCTCTGTATACATGTGTGCATTTGCATGCCTTAGGTTCTGAATGTCTGTGCATGCATCTGTTTGATTTTCTTTGTGTTCATGGTGTGTTTGTACACGTATTTATATATATGCGTGTTCGTGCGTGGACATATGCCGTATGAATATGGTCTAAAATTTATACGTGTTGCATATAGGCTTGTAAATATATTCCTATATGCATATGAAAATGTGTTTGTGCCTGTTAATGTGTGCATTTACAGGCACATTGGTCCGCAGATGGATTTGTCTGCATGCATTCTTATTCTGTAGGTGTACGTTTGTGTGCGCGCTGTCAACATATGTAGAAATCCACGTGTATGCTTCAGCATATGAATGGTACCCATATGTTCTGTATATTGGTGCTCGCTGTCTGCTCGTAATTACATATTACTTTTGTACGTGTACATTGTGTGTACGCACATTTATGCTGATGTGGTATCCTTTTGCATGAACTCAAAAACTTTAATCTGTTCACAAGTCTATTAATGCAATTGAAAGATAGAGTGTGATGATTCTTTATGAGTTAAGGATAACCAAAATGATGAACATGAGGTTACAATTTTCAAACAGAGCAGATCATTTATATTTTCATTTTAGACTTCTATTGAATTAACATGCTTATACGAGTCATAAATATTTTAGTTTTAACCATTCATTGCTTTGTTATTTATTCATACTGAATTTGATCGAACTTCAGCTTAGCGTTCTAGCGAACTTGAGACAGACTTTTTAGCTAATTATTCAAAAATCTTAAGCTTTAATTTTGCATGCAATTATCTAGTTATAAATAAAATAATGCTTCAATATTTTATTTATAACTAGATAAGTTCTGAATAACAACGCTAGCAATTTAGACCAAATCGTAAAGTGCCTGCTTTGATAATGAAATGAAATATTGAACTGTTAACATTCACTAGTAGTAATTCATCTAAGATAGGATTTGTATTT